CGTCAGCGCAGGCATTTGGTGGCCAGTCAACTCCTTCGCCTCCATTCAGTTCCTTTATGGGAGACAATGTGCTCTGGCGTTGGACAGACGGGGGAGTCCTGCTGACAAGGAGTGGATGGCCGAAGAAGAGGTGGGCATTGGGTTGCACATACAACTCCTCCATGGACATGACCGGGGCGGAGGCGGGGGTCCAGAGGCTAGCATCAGCTGGACTCGTGGAGGCGTACCAGCCGCAGGAATGTCGACGGACAGGCCGATAAGTAGGACTTTTTGCATAGAAGGGCACGTTGGCATGCGGGGTTTGACAGATGTGGCCCACGGACCTGGACCGACAATGGTGTATGACGTCATCGGAGTCCTGAAGGTGAGGATAGACTTTGGGGAATTGGGTAGTATATTGTCTGCGCCCATGGATGCGCCTCCATACATGATAGACAACTAGAACGGTCAGTGTGAACAGGAGAGGTAGGGTTATGCCCAGAAGTATACGAGACGCTACCGAGTGAAGTGTAAGTTCAACAGGAGGACCTTTTGCACCTGAGGTGTTACGGCTCAGGGGTACATCCTGCGATCGCATATCAAAAGGTATTGGCTTTCCTGGAATAAAAAATAAAAAATGTGTTTAAGGAATAGTGTTATGTTTTCGGAAACATGCGAAACTGAGCAGTTATGCAGAGAGGCATGTAGGCATTTATATGTTGACATCTGTTAGTTTAGAACGCTAAGCATTTAATGCTTTTGGAAATACCAGTAACTACGCAATTACTGGTTTCTTCTTATCAGCCTCAGTGGCATAAACATATTGGAACCTATAGTTCCTCCTGTCCCTATTGTTTGCATACTTGTTTTTTGCTATTAAATTTCTCCAATGTGCGTTTCGTGTTGCAGGTAACATTTTTGACACAAATGGTATTTCATTTTAGTGCAACAAATCACATAATTTCACAGGATTTTATAAGGAAACGATTTCATCCTTGAATCAAAATAATTCTCATTCAACGCATCGAAATTAACTGCAAGCTTATGATTGTTCCACTTTGTGAACATTGTCCAAAGAACTAACAGTTTATTTATAAAGCACAATTTAAGGAATACTATTTTTCAGCTAGGAAGAATGTACCATGTTCAGTAATTTGCTCCTACTGTTTTCACTTCCTCTTTGTATTTCTTTTTATGTCTGGTAATATTACGTAATCTGAGATTGCACCGTTAATAGTCCAACCTTGGCAATGGCCCATGTAAATTATCCTGCGCATTTCAGTTTTGAAATTACATTTCTTGGGATGCCTGCCTTTCAGTTTATAGGAAGTTTTATGGTTCCCCATTTGCATTTAGGCTGATCTGTTTTTGGTTGATGGCTGGTTATGATATAGCCTGGCTTTTGCGCAGATGTGCCGGAATAATGCGTTGACTAATTATTCACCGTTTGAAACATCTGCGTCAAATGTTCGATTGTCGATAAACAGAGAGGGAGTTCAAGAGTTTCTACTAATTTGGATTTGCAGCATTACTCCCAAACGGAGAACAAAAAAGAACACCATTGTCAGTATTGCAAAGGCAATGACAATTGCTACAGTGGTCACCGGAGACGATTTATAGCTAAACGTCAACATTATCTTTGCATCATTCGCACGGACG